AAAGTTTTGTACTATGTCAACCTGGCCTAGGATGTGTATAATGCATTTTTTTTTCTCAAGGAAATGACAAAGAATATGTCATTTCTCAGAGTGCTACACTCGGCATGTTGATCCATTCACAACAAATCTTACATTATTTTTCTGTGTATGAGGAATTGAAAATAATTACTAAAGACGCATGTAGTGCTCTCTGGACCTGAGAGATAATAAAGTTTTGAGCAATGAGTCTTCTCTACACTTGAACTAGAAAGAAACAAAAAAGAAGAGACAGAGGAAATTCCCACACAACAAGGGCAGCCCTGCAAAGCAGGTGCAGGAGCAGCCAGTGCTGGTTCTATAAATGACACAGGCACACACACACACCCCCAAACTGTCCAGGGACCTGAGGACACACAAATGGTTTATCCACACTCAGTGTACCTGATAATATTAGAGTCGGTTAATTTAGGAAACTCTGGATAATGAAATGCTTCTTAGGGGTATAGACATCCTTTAAGAGGTTTTGTCACGCATTCACATTCATTATTTACTACATAGAAACTGGCTCCAGCTGTGTCGTTAACAGTATCTCCAAATTCAAGGGACAGCATTTCAGACATTTGTCGAATGAGTAAAAAAATGAACGAGACAGCATGGGCCAGTTTGGGGGGTGCATGTTGCAAGGTGGCTTGGAACAGTATAGAGAAAGAGGACAGGAGGACAGGGCTAGACAGCTATAGAATGAAAGATAGTAACATTGTCAGACAACTGATTCATGAGACTCAATGTGAAAAGAACAGAGGATCGTTCAAAGGTTTTGAGAAAAGGTGTTTAGTGACAGTCTACTAGTAGCTCACCAAAATCCACTCTTTTTCTTCCACGTAAGAGTTTAAGTTGAACACAAGCTGCCTCGTTAGGAAGATCTAAGTGAACACTGACGTGACCAGGTGAAGCCCACCACTGTGAGCAGGAGTGAGGCCCCTCCCTTCCTCCACGCAGCTGGGAAAGTGCCCAGCCCTGCCTGGCTCACCAGGACCCGCACCAGGACATGGTCCAGGAAGGGAGAGGAAAAGGGCAACTCAGCGCAGTCTGGAAGGGGGTCTGGACACAGAGGGCTGGCACTCACAACTGTACCTGAGGACAGCTGAAGGGGCAGAGAACTGGGACTGAGAGCTTGTGGGGACAGAGTGTGCTGGGTGGGGGGTCAACCTGAGTTAATTCACCTCCCGTTCTGATGAGTGGCACAGTAGGATAGGGATTGAAGAAGCTGCTGAATGAGCCCTGGACATGTGACTGAGGCGCACTGACGTGTGTGCACCACGTCTGCTGCACAGGTGGGGCTGCACCTTAAGAAAGATGAGTGTGCAGCACAGCCCTGGGACTGAATCGTGGGCCACCACCTAGGCAGGCAGAGTGCGTTCTAAACAGCATTTTACTTCAAACCCAGACAATCATCACCAAATTCCATTCCTCTGAGTTAATTTCCAAAAGCAATGCTGAAGTAGGGAGGGACCCACCGGCAGGTCAAGAACCCCCCTCCCCCAGACGAACGTCTTCTGGCCTCTCTCCCACAGGGTATAGTTTTCCTGCCCGTCCCTCAACAGATGCTCCTTCCCGTGTGTCAGCATGTGGCTGCAGGAGCCTCCCTCCTTCCAGGCTGCTCCCTCGACAG